GCCCCACGGGGCCGACGAGTCGTCATCACCAAACAACGACGCTGCTTCTTGTGGGCGTGGCGACGTCGGCTTTGGGGGTGACGGCTCGCTGTGCGCTTGAGCGTGGACGGTAGGCGCTGAGAAAGCACTTGACGGTGCGTGGCCAAAGAGCGAGGCAGCTTCGTGCGCAGGCGACGACACCGGGTTGGTCTCGGGCAACGGCTGGTGCGGGGCTTGCGACGAGCGGAATGGATCGCTTGAATCGTCGATAGCAAAGAGAGACGCTGCCTCTTGGGGTCGCGAAGACTGCGAGGTATGACCCGTATACTGCGGTGGCGGGACATGCTGGCCCGACGGCTGCTGGTACGCTGGCTGCTGGTAAGCCGGTTGATGGTAAGCTGGCTGCTGGTACGATGGCTGGGGATAGCTCGGGTGCTGGAACGCTTGGGCAAACGGGTCGGATGGCGACGAGTCGCCAAAGAGGGACGCCGCTTCCCTTGGCGGCGAGAACGGACCAGGCGTCGGCGCGGCTGGCGCAAAGTACGGAGCATCTTGCGGTGGCTCGGGCGACGACGACGGTCCAAAGCGATCCGTGGCCTCCTGCGGCGCTGTCTGTGCCTGGTACGGCGCCTGTTCAAAGTGATGCGCATGCGCGCCAAAGGCGCCGGCAGGAGCCTCGTGCTCAAAGAGCGAGGCGGCGGACGACGTCAGCGACGACGACGAGCCGTACGACGCCTGCGTGCTGAGGTTCATGGACGGCGAACCAAAGAGCGCCGACGCGGGCTGCGACCGAAGAGACGCGGCCGAGTCGTTGGAGCGCGGGCCGTACGCGCTGCTTTCGGGCTGGCCGTGGTCAAAGGACCGCCCCATGGAGCGGATGATCGGGCTCTTGGACTGCATCGAGAAGAACTCGGCCGTGTGGTTGCCGCTCGAGCCAATGTCGTCGAGGTCGAGCTCCTCATACTGCCCATCGTCGACGGTCACGGGCGCGGGGACGCTGATCGCCATCGGCGGCTTGCTGGGCATCGGGGGCTTGGCCTCCGGGGTGACGAAGGTCTGCAGGAGGCGATTCATGCGACGTCAAAAGCACTCTGAACGTCGGCCAATCACAGACCAGTTGGTGCGTTTTTCCGAAAAAGCGCACCTTTTTGCCATGATATGACGTGGCCTCTCCCGCTTGCAGCGTCACTGGTCATTTTAGGGGCAGCGCACGCACTCGTACACGAGCATGCGACGACAGGGCTTCGCATTGAATTGAGAAACAACAAGGTCGACCAACGCCCGATTGTCCCATCAACTAGACCAACGTGGTCATTGGCGACAGCACTTGTTGTGCGATTTACCATTGCCAAGACGAACTCTCCTCGGCACTAGCACTCGAGAGTATCAACCTGCTGGGCATAAACCCTGGGGCCTCAGCCTCGACACATATGTGGTATGTTGGTACGCGAAAGCCAGTCGCACCAAGTTGTTTGGGCTCGACGAGTTCGGGATGGCAACGTCAGTGGACGTGACGACTTGTGCCCTTGGGTGGAAACGGGCTGGGCGGCTACAGCAAGATACTCCAGCGCGATGGGAAGACGAGGCGACAAGTGAACTGAATCGACGACTCTTTATGCGAGAGCAAGCCACGGGTGGCGCTTTGCCTATATCCGTGCGGCGTGGTTCTGTGACGCTATGCTTGGTGTTGAGAGAGCACACGAGTTGGTATGATCCTCCAGTCCGTCAAACATGATAAAGGGGCTGTATTTTGTTAGTAAGTCGTGTTTACTTGGCAATGGCACCGCACCAGACGTAGTCGTTGGCCTTGTTGGCGTCGCAGTCTGCCTTGCTCCAGTTGGCGATGCACCCCGCGCTCGTTTGGCATCCGCGGCACGTGCCGCAATAGCCGGGCTCGCCACACCAAACGTAGTGCGGGTTCGCATTGCAGTTGGCGAGCGTCCAGTTGGCGTGGCAACCGCCGTTGCCGGGGTAGTAGCAGTTTTTGCAGTTGCCGCACGTGGTCGCTGGCGCCTCGGTCGTCGGCACCACCGAGGGCGTCGAGGACGACGATGGCACGGGTGTCACGGACGGTGTCGGCGCCTTGGTCGCCGGATCCAAGTCGCAGTTGGCGTGCGTGGCCGAGGCAGCGGCAAGAAGCGTAAGGCACGTAGCGATGGAGAACTGGACCTTCATGGTGGAGAGCAAATTTGAAAATGAGTTTGGCACAACACCACTCGGATCTCTTGTTTCGTGCTCCGTCTACCGTATACTGTTTGCAACATGGCAGCAGATGGGATGCACTGAAAACATCTGTGGCAAATCGCACATAGTGCATCCTGCCAAGCGCGGGGTTCATCCGCCACGCGTTGAGCACGGGATTATCGTCAAGAGCAAGCGTTCTCCGTACTATCCTTGTAATGGATTTAACAGAAAGGGCTATCCATTCGTTGCGGCCTATTGAGACTGCAAGCTGTGATTGTGAGAAAGGATGCAAAGTCGCAGGGCATATGAAGACAGCGTCACAGGACCAAGATCCACATCTGGTGGCGCTGGATCTGGTAGCAGCTCTGGCGTGTGTGGCTGATAGCATCCCGGCAACGGATGATGCAGTGCAGCTTAGTTCGACTCCTTGTCGCAACCGACAGGAGCTTACTGTACTACCCATACTCTACTGTAGCTCAGTCGAGTGGGGCATCGTAGCCGGGCCTCGTACGCGCACTAGAAAGGGGTCACTATTTAGGACAGCTATTGTAATCACTCTGTCAAATAGGATCAAAATCGTCCACGCAAACAAGGAAAAAGGATATTGAAGCATGTACTACAGTACATTTACCTTCCTTTCCAACGCCACGGGTCGTATCAGCGGGTGCCATTGCATGTGTGCCTGCGCGAGCAGTGCCATGGAGCACACGAGTCAGGATATGATCGGACGTGTTATCTCGCGAGTAATTCCGCCTGTTTTAACGTCTGCACTGCGGTGGGAGCAATGGTAGGAGCGTAGCGTCATTTCGCCAAAACGCGCTTGTCTTTGAAGTTTTCTTTCAGCAAAATCCCACCGATGGTATTCAATCGTGCCCTGGACGCTTGCATCGGTGGTCCGAAGATGATCATCTGAGGCCCACGGGATCTGAGCCAGATCGCGCCCTCTGGTGTGATCGTGCCGTATATCAGGTCGCCATCATATTGACCTGAAGCCCTGGGCCCATTGCTTACCCCAACACAACTGTACTAGCCACAAGGTACAGTAGAATGTCTCTACACCACGGGAGGATCTTCACTTGAGATGGTCCGTAAGTCTTCGTGCGTATGGGTGGAAGTGCTCTAAAGACGAAGCGTGACCTGAAGCTTATCGGCCGGTCTCAAAGCCTACACCTCACCGCTCGCATGCACCGCCGGTTTACGCATGTGGTCCGAATAGAGCAGGCTAGTTTATCGCAAAGTGTGTCTCTCGCATGTATCCCGTAGCCCCGTATTGGACTGGGGTTAGGGGATACATCCGAGAGAAAGACAACCGCGCTTTATATTTTTATACCAGTTCGCTATATGATGTGCCGATGTCTCAGACAATTCAGCCTGCGGACGATCTACCTGGCCAGCAACAACTTGATACCGCTGGTGAGAGGTGCAGTAGATAGCGCAGCACTCGGGCGCAAGTGTCTCGGCATCGCTCCAAGCGCAGGTTAACGCCAAGCCCGTAGATATTGGGACTCGTCATGCGAGACCAAAACCTGTAGCGCAGCTAACTCGACACTGGAGCTGCCTCATCAAGGTGCTAAGCGAATCCAAGCGCCACGTCACAACTTGCTACATCTGCTATTGCTCACCAAGTCTCCGAGGTAACGGTATCTGTGTAGTAGAAGGGACGACACGTTGTCTTCTGGAAGGGCCAAGAGACTACAGTTTTGGTGTCGACTATCAAATCGAACCGCACGACACGTCAACTGCTCGTGTTCTTCGTAAGCCTCCCTCTGGATTCTGTGTCTGCCAACACGAAACAAGCCAAACCACACCGCCCGTCATAGTGCTCACAGGAAAATACTCCTTCCCAGAAAGCACCGCACCACCGATTTCGTTTACGAGCTCGCGGTTGGCCTCGCTATAGCCAACGGGATGCCCATGCGACCTTGCATTCGCTTCGTCGATAGCTCGAAAGGAATTTCCCACCACCCCTTCGATCGTGCCCGTGTGTGTCATACTGACGATACCCTTGGCTTGAAACACGTGGTGCTCTCGGACGTGTGGTCAAGTGTCCATCCCTCTCGCCCGTACTCGTGTCTCGCTTTGATCGACCGTTGCCCGCTTCCAGTACGATGGTGCCCAGCCACCACAGCGTCCCGTCCTAGCGTTGACAAGTGTCGTCGCGATTCGATGCGGTGTCGCTCTACGATAGCGCCATAAGATGTGCAATGAGGTCCCAAGCTCCAAACAACCGCGACGTGTCCTATATCATAACATGTCGCCGTGATGGCGGTTGCGCGGGGTTGAAGCGACGCCAAGAGCTGCATGCCAAAAGACAAGCGGAAGCAAAACGAAATTTACAAATGACACTCAAGAGAAAACCTAAACCCCGACGGAGGTACCGATCACCTAGACTAGGGGCACGCGTCCACGTGGCACAATCTGGGTGCAGATGCATCGGCGAGGAGACTTGAGATGATATGCAAGCAAAACTGAAAAATGAGTAAAACAAACGCGGCCAATACGTAGCCAAATCCACGACCGGGAGATTGTGCTGGCGCCACGTATCTCCATTAGGCTTTGGACATCTTGTCTGGAAGAAGCTCAAGGCCCAAGTGGTCGTCGTCGCACGCGCGCACATTCTGTGAGCTGGTCCCTGTCAAGAACAAGGCGACGCCGAGCGCCAGCGTGATCCACGAGATGCCAAAGAAGAGGTACACGTCGGCCGTGTAGCTGCCCGTCACGTCGCGAAGGTACCCAACGAGGACGTTGCCGATCGTCATGGCCAGCGCCTCAAAGACCTCGAGGACGCCAAACGCCATGCCATATCGTTCCTGGGGCACCGAGGTCGCGAGCGCCGCGACGAGGACGGCGGGTGTGACCGTGAGGCAGAGCGAGATGAGGAGCAGCGTCACAATGGGGGTGTACGGTGTAAAGAGGAGCCACGCAAACGCAACGACACCGCAAACAGTCGACGCGAGGACCCAGTGCAGTCGGCCGTGGGTTCGATCCAAGAGCAGACCGAGAATCGGCGAGGCGAGCACGAGGACGTGGGAGAGACTCGCAAGAACCCCCGAGAGCACGAGCGAGTAGCCGTACACTTGGTAGAGGTAGCTGGCCGAGATATTTTGGAACCAGTGAAAATTTTGCACATACAGAATCTGGAGCGCGAGCACGAGCCAAAACTAGATTATAGATATTAGCACCAAATCCCAAAGAGACACACAAGGACGTACGAGGCGCGGGAGTGTGCCCACGAGCTGCAGCGACTCGCGCGAGAGGAGCCCGTGCTTGCTGGCATGCGCCAGAGGTGCGACCCGCGGACTCACATACGCCGTGAGCCACGGCAAGCGCGGGTCAATGTCCTCGACGGTCAAGGTCGCGCGTAGGGTTTGGAGGCGCTGCGTGGCGTGGATCACAATGCACGCGCAGGCGAGCGAGACAAGACACATGACGTCGCCGTACCAAAAGCTATAGACGTAGCTGCCAAAGTAGAGAGCAATCGGGGCCATGGTCCACTTGGCCGCCATGCGTGCGACGTTGGTCATGGCCACGATGATGCCCATAGCGCACGTGATTTCGGTCGTGTCAAACCACGTGGCGGCGAACGCCCGCGCGCCGACGTACACGCTGCCCTCGCCCATGCCATAGACGAAGCGCCCGGCGAGCGCCAGCCCGTAGCTGTGGTGGGCCATTGCGAGCGTGAAGATCGTGTGCCCGAGAATCATGAGCCCGACAAAGTACGATAGGCAGCGGCTGCCATCGCGGTCGAGCCAATGGCCGCCGACAAACGGCAAGAGCAAATTGGGCCACGACGCCGACGACGAGAGCGCGCCGTAAAACGTGTTGCTGATCGGGTGCGCTGGATCGTCGAGCATGAGCTGCTCGACGGCTGCCATCCCACTCTACAGGCGTGGCATCCATGAGTGTCAAGAACGCGCTTGGAAGCATGGTACCCGAATAAAGTGGCCGCTGAACGCGACGCCGCAGGTCGCCACGAGGAGGAAGAAGCGGTGGCTCGGGCTAAACGGGCTCCAGAAGCGCCATGCTGACGTCCGCGTCACGACGAACGTTGCCTCCACGAGCGGCGAGCGCTCGGCCGTCCGTGTTGTCAAGGATCCCATGTTTCGACTTTGCCACTTTGAAAATACGACTGGCTGGCTGCCATCTGATTGGCGAAAAGATTCGTCCGCTGCTTCATCTGCGCTCTCATTGGTGGATATCTTTGGTCGTGCAAGGCCATTGGGCAAAGGCAAACGCTGCTCCAGCGCGAGGGGTCAAGATTCCCGACGACCGCGAGGACCAAGCGCGATGCGTCTTGGGTACACGCGATGGCGTGGGTGGCGCAACGGCACCTGCAACGATGATTCCGACGCCGCGCTTGATCTCTCGAACCACGTCCGTGATATGCTCCTTGCGACAGCCCGCGCTTGATCTTTGCGTTGACGTAGGACGTTGGGTGCTTGCTCACGGCGTCGCTACTGGCGGTGGCCAGACAGGATTGGCAGAAGGGCGCATGCCACGGGACCAATCGAATTGATGCATCGTGTCGCAAGGGCGGCTCGTAACAGGCGCGTTGCCAACTCGACTGTACCGTAGGACGGTGCATAATCTTGCTACGCCCAATTGCAGTCACCACTCCACTAAGTATGTCTTATGATAGACATGGCGCCGACGAGCGATGATACAAAGGTGGACCTTGGGCCGAGTAGCTTGACGTTACGGGCGTGCGACCCAGATGCGAACACGGACGTTGAGTGCGGCTCACCGGGCGGAACAATCGCGAGGATGAGCGTCGAGCAAAGGCGAAGGACCGTCGACCGTCGACCGTCAACCGTGAGCAATGGTCCTATCGCCCTACGACAAGCGAGGTACGAATATTCGGCACGTGGCAACCGTTCAACGAGGGCGATTTGAGCCTTGATGTGCCACCCTGCTCCCTACTGCAAGCGACGCCGTACTGCATGGGTGACTGCAGACGCCGCTCGAGCCAACGTCACCTGTGGCATCCAAGTCGGCGTGAGTGGCTATGCAACAGTCTTGAGGCCGAGCTCAAACTGCCAAACCGCTGAGTCGTTCAATTGACGCACGCGGGTTCCATATTCCGACATCGTTGATTGGTCTTCGAATTTTTCGGCGCATTTCATTGGTCGGTGCCACACGGCGTGTGCAAAGAAAGCCATCAGATCGCCACGCCGGGTTACACCTTCGTCTGCAACTTCAGGTCTTGGAGTTTGTCGCTTGCACTCGAAAACGACCACCAACTTGGTCGAATCCTCACTTCCCAATTGGC